CCCCAAAACCCCAAAACCCCCAAAACCCCAAAACCCCAAAACCCCGCAATGCAGAGAATGCCAATTAATGTAGATGTTTTAATTAATTTGAAATTTCTAACTATCATAATTTTAGAAACAAAATATGGATCGAATTAATCAGTAACTTGCTGAACCAAATGAAAGGCGGGTATACACTGAGGGACCCTCAAATCTCGCAGAAGACGATGATGACCAACTTGACATGCTTGACTAAGACGAAACATTTCTTGACGAGTTATCCCCTGAACAGTTCTAGTAATTAATGTAAAACCCTCGCTTGGCTGCTTTATTCGCAAATGGTAAATAAACATTTATAATTTATCTGTTGATGATTAGAAGCAAATGGTTATGCACTAGGACTAGATAATAACGATGACTATGGAGATGAAAATGGGGATTATGAGTATGTAGATCTGGACAATCTTCCAAATGATTAGCAGCAATATTTCTTATCGGATGATTGCTATTATGGGAATCTGGTTCAAAATTTCAACAATCAAGATAAAAGCTAATAAAACGAATCACAAGATGGGCATTACAATGTAGAGTTTAACAATTAGAGCTAAGCTCACGAGGAATACCAAAAGTAGCATATGGTCGAGGGCGAAGACGGCGAATTGATTTAATGCGATGCTGACAGTGATTACTGTGAAGATCTAGTAGAAATTTACAGTCTAAATGGCAATGATGATGATATAATTCGCTATAAGGGCATCCATCTCATGGACAAAGGTGGTTCTGATCCTGATAATGACCCTGCATTGGACAAGTATTAATGCCCAGAGACAGGCTCCCATTTCGAATTTCTAGATATGTGCAGGAGGCTGAAGAAACTGCAAACTAGGCGTTAGATAATCGATAAAGTAATTGAGGATGAGAATAGAAGAAATCTGGCTCTTGTCTAGAAATAAAAGTTCAAAGACAATTCTTAAAATCTAAGCAACTCCACAGCCCATCAAAAGCAATAGAACTTACCTACTCAGCAGTAGAAAGAACAGTCACAGTCAGTTCAGTAATAGTCTCAAAATAATCACAACTAGTCTCTCTAGCAGAAATCTCAGAATCAATCATAGTCAAAGAAAACCACTAATCTGCAAAGTGAGTTCAAAGAGAACAACACAAACAACTTAATTTTAGCAGACAATCACTCTGAGAAGGGCCATGAAAATTTAGTAGCTGAGGATAAAATCAAAGGACTTCAGCTCTTGAGCTAGAAATCTGAAACATAGTAAAACTTGCAAAACCAGTTTTCATAAGTTCAGAGCCAGAAGGAGTAACTCATAGTGGCTAAGCCTAAGATTGGTAGGATGAAGGATCCTTACATCAATAAGGCACTGCCTACTGAAGTTAATCTTGCAACAGATGAGGGATTCTCTAACAGCTTTAACTTTTATGGGACTAATGAAAACATCTAAATTTAGTCCAATAGACCATAAAACTATGAAGATTAGTTCTCTAATGATGAAGAGTTGATTGACTATCTCAATTAGAAGCCTTCAACTTTGACTCAAAAGCCTAAGCTGCATTAGAGCAGTAAAAGTCATAATTAGAACTTTTTATAAGCTAAAGATAAGAATTAGATCTGTGTGACCGAGGTCAATGAAAACATCCCTAAGTCAAACATTAGTAAGCAAAAGCAGCTCGAATACAATAACTTCTTTAGTTCTGATGCTTAGAGTGTTCATCAGAGGAACTAGAACCTCTTGCCTAACTAATTGGATGCTAAGACTCTCTAAGAGATGGACCTTCTCTCTCTAAGTCAGATGCTGATAGATCAATAGGCAAATGCTTAGAAGAATGCTTAAATTCAGAGCCAGCAGAATGTATATTAATATAATAAGAGCACCGACAAGATCAAGAAGCGATAAAACAGTGCAAGTAACAACAGTAAGAGTAAAAAGAGAAATAACTCTCAGTCACTAGTTTAAAACCACAATAAGACTCATTCATTCAATTAGAAGCAGAACTAGATTTAGCAAATGCTTATGAGTTTCTACTAGAATCAGAATCCTAATTCTAGAGCCAATTACAGCAAGAGCATTTATGAAAATAAAGGAAACAGCACTTTGCGAGATCAGGTCAAGCAAGGCTAACCTATGGGCCCTAAGATTCTTGTGGGTGGACCATACAATAGCACTAAACCTAAAAATTAGGTACAAATCAGCCAAATATACACCAGTCTTGGCAGCAATTAATCAAAGCTCAATACAACTAAGAATGGCAATCTGTCTAACAAGAGATCAAAAGTTAATATTAAAAAGAATCCCAATAATAATGGTCTCCAACCTAGAGGTAACACTCTTGATAATAGATATAATCAAGGGTCTAATCAGTCTCAATAGTATAAGCAATAAATCAGTAATATGATAAGTGTTTAAGCTAAGAACAATCAGCAAAATGCCTTGGGAAGTAATAGTACAACAGCTGCTATGAATTCTTAAAGTGCCAGCAGACCTGGTTCAGCTGTTAAGAAATTGTAAGGGTCCTCTCCTCATCATTATATGAAAGGCAGCAAATTAGCTAGTGGAGGAGCGAGCAATGAGTATAAAAACTTGCTTTTCTATAACAAGCAAGAATCTTAAGGAACAGATAAGAAAGAAAAAGTGTCAGCCTTTAATAAGGGACAAACATTTTAGAATCTCGAGAAAACGACAACCATCCATAAGAAGAACAACAGCGTCTCAGTAACAAAATATTCTTCTACAGGGAGGTCTAAAATGAAACATATTAATCAAAAGCAAGCCCCATCTCACTAGGAGTATAACAGCTAGGCTCTAGATTAAATTCTAAATACCTAGCTTGAAACCTAAACTGGAGACTATCAATACTCCACTTTTCATGAAGGACTAATGACATCAGACTAGTAAAGAGTCCATACAATGAATTCTAATAAGAAGACTAATCCATTCCTAATGAATACCAATTCCTCTCATAAAAACAGACAGAAGTCAACGTCTAAGATAGCAACTTCTAAGTCAAGATAGAAAGCAGAGTTGTTTAAGCCAATGCAAATTCAAGCTCATATAAAATAGAGTGCTAAACTGAGGACCAAAGTTAGTGGTCAAAATATCAGCAAGATCGATATAAATAATGTTATTAAGAAGATTAACTTGAAGCACAACACTTATCTTACTAATGTAAATACCAATGTAAACACAAATATCAATCCAAGTTCATTATCCCAACAATCAGTAGTCAAATAGAAACAAAATATGATTTCAAATCAGTAAACTTAGCATGGATCTACCATTCATAGCCATCAAAATATTTAGAGCTATCTTGCGCAAGCCACAAAGAAGGTCTTAGCTTAATAACTAGATCAGTAGTCTTAGGTAAACAAAAGATACAGTTCAATAAAACATTCAGGAAGAGAGAATAACGAAAAAATCCAAAGCAGATCTAAGGGCTCAAATAAGCCTCAAAGAGTTAGCTCAGGGAATGGCATTAAAAGCTTCAGTAAATATCACTTTGCTCAGCCTTAATCATAGCTAGAGGCAAATGTATTGATCAACAAAGAAGGAAAGAAGAAAAACACATTCGTAGGAAGTAGCTACGAGTATAGAAGTGAGAGATGCGAGACCGTATCATGAACAACAGAACTAATTATTGTTACTATGATTATCCTTAGTCTTCTTATCTAAATTTAGAAGAGATCTAATCAATTAAGATATTTTATGCGACTAATAATTATCTGCATTTATTATTTCTTCTAATATATTTCTTTCTTTAGATAACTCATCGCTTCCCATTAGGGGTTTTGGGGTTTTGGGG